GACTGCTTCTTACCCGGTCATTTTTGTCAAGCTTTCCAGTCCGTTTAGGCTAATATATATATATATATATATATATATATATATATATATATATATATATATATATATATATATATATATATATATATATATATATATATATATATATATATATATATATATATATATATATATATATATATATATAGTATATATATATATATATATATATATATATATATATATATATATATATATATATATATATATATATATATATATATATATATATATATATATATATATATATATATATATATATATATATGCACACACACACACATACACACACACACACATTAACACGACACATATGCATATATATTTTTTCTAATTTGCAGTTTCCTTTTTATTCTAGTTCGTGGAACGTCAGCTTCCAGAGAAATCTCCTTGTAGCTTTGGGATTTATCTTTTTATTTCTATTTCTCTAATTATCTAATCATTTTTTTCTAATACACTAAGATCCTTTTCTTTGCTGACATTACCTCAATGTCATCTCTTGACGCTTCATGGTGTTTATTAGGTATGAGGTGACATTATGAATTTGCATCATCATGACAGTATGTGTATATGATAACCGGAAACAGGAAATCCAGGGAATGTGGCTTGGGTAGTGACTGCACTTCCTGCTGAGGAATGAGGGATGTGTATGTTTGAACCGAGATGCAGCTCGATGTATGTTTATTTTCGGACATCTGATCCATTTTATGAGTCGTTCATAGGAGGAACTTGATATATCCATATAACGTTTCAGAACGAATGGCAAAAAATGCTGAATATATAAAGAATAAAGTATGGAAAAGAAAAGATACGTGTGATTGACGTACTCACACACACACACACTTGTTTGTATGTATGTATATATGTGGGTGTATTTAATGTATATATATATATATATATATATATATATATCTATGTTATAGATATAAATAATATATAGTCGCCATCCCATCCTCCTATATGATCACGTCGGCCATATATATCGAATGTGTATTAGCAGTTAACAATATACTATAAAATATATATCTTGTATATTACATACCAACACACACACTCATCACACACACCACATGACACATACAAACTAGCCTACACATCACACACACAGCACACACACACACACACATACCCACACATCACACACCCGCATCTCACAACACCAACACCCACACAGACATTCATCTAATAGCTCTCACCTTCTGATTAGCACCCTCTATAATACTACTACCTAGTAATACGTACTCTAACTGGTCTGTCCTGTTATTTTCTTCTATTTATAGGCCTCATTCTTTAACATAATTGCACTATAAGCGTGCCTTACTTACTACTCTCTTCGTATATTTATTTATTTAATTTATATTGGCATATGATACTACCATACATAGGTTTATATATAGTCTAGGTACGACTAGCCTCAGAGCTATAGCGTAGTAATCATTTCAGGTATAGTCGTTATATATATGAAGATATATCTTATAACTACGCAGTATAATATATAGTAATTACACACACACACACACCACACGACACCACACACACACACTGACCCGAAGCACATCCACCACCACACCACATTTAAGTGCCGTTATCGTAGCATTCTATCTTCCTACTAGACTTACTATGACCCATATCCTGCTTACTATATATTACTATGTCTCCGATATTAATATATGACCAAGTCTTACAATGGTCTATATACGAATAGAACAACGCGCAGTTCCTCGCTCTTAATAGTTAATATATATATATATATATATATTATATCCTCATAATCGATATACCCAGTGCATTCCTCCACACTATATAAATATATCATTATGCCCTATCATCACTATTATTAGTATATATATATAAGTATATCACCTGCTATTATATATGTATAGTAATAGTTGGGCATTACATTTGTATATTATATGATAATAATATATAGAACTTACCGCCCGCGTACTTACTTCAGCTTACTATCGTCTCAGTCGACCCCGCTAGCTCTGCGTATATTAGTAATATATATATGTTTACCTACGTATATTACCACACACCATAAATGTATTTATTATCTAGGTGATTATAATAATATATAGATTAATAGTATAAGTATGTCGATCGTCTCGTTTCACGTATACCTGGCTGCCTTACCTCATCATTTGCTTACCTCATGTCTGCTGTCTTGCGATCGCTGGCAGCGCCTCTACATGTTACCATAGATTATATAGGATAGTTTAAATACACTTACTGCCATAGTATATTATATCAGGACCCATATATTACACTTACTCCACTTCACATATAATACGTATAATACGCTATGATGCTACTACTTACTCTTACCTATAGCTCACATATATCATAGTGGCATATAATAATATACATGTATAGTATCTTTCCACGGCTACTCTAGTGCATATGTCTCCGGCACGGTACCTAGCTTATATAATTACCTTTAACGGTATATTATAATATC